ACAGTGTCAGAAGGAAAACAAAAATGTCAAAGAAACCAACAGGAGAGAATCTTACAAGAGGCGGGGAGTTAGGCAAGATTACAGAACATTCAAGAAATAATAAAGCCTGGAGGGTGCCCATTAAATGTGGCCACAAGGAAGGCACTGGGAAATCTGGTGGGGAGTTTCAGTGGAGTGATGAGGACAGAAGCCCCACTGCAGTGGGATGAAGATGAGACGAATGAGAGATGAGGAAGTATGGATATCAGGAGTGGACAACTCAAGAAGCCTGGCTATGAAGGAGACGTGGGGAGATGGAGGGATGGCTGCAGGAGGACTTGGGCTGGGGGAGAGTTCTGTATAGGAGATCCGAAGCATGGTTAAATGCTGATGGGAAGGAGTCCAGGAAAAAAAGGAGAGTGGTGAGCAGAAGGAGCATAATCTCTGAAGAAGCAGGAGGAGAGGATCCTATGAAAGATGGAATGGCCAGCCATCGTGTTGGGAGGGAAGGAAGGCAGTTAGAGTTGCCTGTCAGTGAGTTGGTGTGGCAACAAGCAGTAGAGAATTTTCACTTGGTGGCTCTAGTTTTTCTCTAAAGTTGGTAGGGAGACGATCTCCAGAGAACAAGAAGGGACATCATAGGACAACAAGTTTGAGAAGAATGGTCATCGTGGAAAGGGAGAGAAACCTAGTTAAGAGCACAGGATTGCTGGGGAGGGTTGAGGGCTGAAGTGAGGTTGGAGGCCAGCGCACTAGGAGCTCCAGTCCAAGAGGCTGGTAATTTTATTCACCAGTGCTCAGCAGCCCAGATGTAAGAGCCAAGAAGGAGAATGGTTTTACTTGACCTAGGAGTAATCAAAGAACAATGGGCAAGAGAGATGATACTGGGAAGCCAGTGATTTAAAAGATGGCTCATGGTGGGGGTGGGGGGCACCTGGGTGGCTCAGTCAGTTAAGTGTCAGTTCGGCTCAGGTCATGATCTCACAGTTTGTGAGTTCAAGCTCTGTGTTGGGCTCTGGGCTGACAGCTTGGATCTTGGGGCTTGCTTCGGATTCTGTGTTTCCCTCTCTCTCCCTGCCCTTCCCGTGTTCGCACTCGTGCCTCCCTCTCTCTCAAAAATAAATAAACATTAAAAAAAAAAAAGATGGCTCATGGGGATTCCATGTTGGATAGAGAAAGAAATGGTGATTGAGGGAAAGTGTGAGGACAGAATAGAGAAACCGAGGGCTTGATGGAGTTAGAGAACTGCTTAAGTAGAAGCAAAAGTGGGCCATGAGGTGATCTGTTGGAGTGGGTGTGTGAATTTATGATTTTGGAGGCAGCGCAGTACCCATTAACGATACTCCAAGGGTATCTGATGTACAGTGGGAATGAGGCCACCGAGGAGGTGGTGACAGTGAGCTTCTAGGGCTTGGGATGGCTCATCCACATTGGGCATAGGAGGATTTGAGGTAGGAAAAACGGAGTCTAAGGCTAGAGTCTGCAATGAAAGAGGAGGAGGGTGCTGGAGGTCAGGAAAAGACAGGATGAGGCTGGGGTAACACTGATGAGTGCTTGATAAACATCTAATGGATACATGAATGTGTGAACGAGTGAATGAGTGAATGTATCAATTCAGACTAATCTGGCACATTCTGGGAATATCTAGCCATAAATCCCAAGATCCAGGAGGAAACACTAGGCTAACAGAAGCCAAGTTAGGAGAAGTGTACGGGTGTCAAGTTATCATAAGATTTGAATGGAGGCAGTTCTTTTCAGTGTATCCCATCTGAGAGGCTGTTGAGCCCTCTAGACCTGCGCAGGTTCAAATACGATATCTACAAGCCCCTTGTAGCCACTGAGCACTTGAATTGTGGCTAATCTAAACTGAGATGTGCTATCACATATACTGGATTTCAAAGACTTAGTACAAAAAAAGAGGAAAAAAAAAAGAACATAAGCTGCCTTATTTTAAAATATTGATGATGTTGAAATGCTGATTTTTTGGATAAATGTGGTTAAATAAAACATACTATTAAAAATTAATTTCACTGTTTTTTTTGTTGTTGTTTTTTTGTTTGTTTTGTTGTGCTTTTTATATGAGGCTACTAAAATTTTCCAATTACATACGCGGCTCACATTATATTTCTCTTGGGCACCTTTGCTCTAGGCCTTGCTCAGTAGCCTCTGCAATCCTGAAAGGAAGCTTCACGACAGCCTGTGTAATGTACACGTTCGACCAATAAATTAATAAGGGCAGCCATCTTGAACTTCCACACATACCTGCTGGCATAAGTGAAATTTGAACCCGCAAGAACTTAAGTTTCTTGCATACAGAAAATTTCCCTGTAAAAGAACATTTTATATCCCTCAAAGTATTGCAAAACCTTCCACTCGCCCTATTCGTTAGGTTCTGCGTCCTTGAAACCACCCAGTGGTTTATCATTGCCTCCACTGTTATCACAGTTGGGATGAATCGAGGGACTCATCCGGTCTCTCTTCTTGGAATATTTCTGACATGATAAAGCTGCAAATCGTAGTACCACATTACAGTTTGGAAGGCCCTTATTTCTGCCAGAGATTGTAGAAGGTGACCCTACATTAGTAGTAGCCAGAGCCGGTTTGCGCTTACGTTAAAAACATGCATATAATGGTAAACACTAAGAGCTTACCCTGGGTTGGGCACAGTGAGGAAACGAGGTTTCAAGAGGTTCAGTAACCCGAGAGGTTCCACAGGTAGGAACTGGCAAAGCCATGGTCTGAACTCAGGTGGCCTCACTCCAAAACATGTGATGCTCGCAACCCCCTACCCTTTCCAACATAGCTGAAAGTGGATTAGGAAACAAAAAGAGATCAGTCTTGCTTACTTGGCCTCGGGAAAAGCCTCTGAAAGAATATGGCATGAGCTGGCCTGACACATTTTGCTCACACATGCATTGAACAGCACAGTTGAGGATTAGGTCCTTTAGCAGAGGTTCCCAAACTGTATACCAGAATAACCTGGTCAGTGTCCATGGGCCCATTCCAGACCTGTTAAATCAGAACCCCGGGAGTAGGGTCTAGGAGTTTGTACTTTTAAAACATTTCCAAGTGGATAAGGGAACCCTCATTTCACAAAATGAAACACAGTCCCTAGGTAAGTACCTTGATTTGGGATCTGATTTACAACTTGGACTTCTCGGTAACCACTGGGACAAAACAGAAGGAAGGTACGAGGAAGGTTTATTTAAGCCACATAAAAGGAGTGGGCCTGGCTTTGGAGGCTCTTTAGATAGAGCTAATATTTGTGCACTAGTTTTTAAGAGGCTTCTCAACCTTCAGATGGCCCCTGGGGCTCCTGCTTCTTCTCAGGCAAAGGCGTGAGTGCTGTTACTTGAAGCCAGACTGACTCTCTCCTTCTTCTTTTGGCCTTTCAGTGTTATGATGTATCCAGCTGGTCCTGGATCTGGTGACTCTCCAGAGGGCTTCTCCGAGCAACCGGAGTCACAAATCGGAAATCACACAGCTCAGACACTAGGTACCAAATTTGGGAGTATTACACGGTCCTTCCTTCAGAGTGCGGCTGAGGCAGACTGAGGGTGAGGGATGGGGGAGAGAAACTCAGAGGTCTTTGGGTAAGCGCACAATGGACGGAAGACCTGGCCTTCATAGGTGACATATGCTTTGTCTGGTCAACAAAGATTTGGTTCCTACTATGTGCCTGGCATCGTTGGAGGCACTAGAAAGATATACCTCAGTGAAAACTAACCAACAAACCAGACTTGGTCCCTGCCTTGTGGAATTTTTTTCTCCACCTTTCTTGAACCCTTTACCAATGGGATACCCCTCCCCTTTTTTTCCCCCAGACTAGGTAAAAAAAGGGCCCATTTTGAATAGGATGGGAGAGGAGACAAAGGTGTAGACTTTGTGACCTAGAATCTGAGCTGAGTAAGACAGTAGAGTCAGGAAAAGTAAACAAATGGGGAAGAACTGGCTCTCTTTTCTGGGATGAGAAGAGATTATAGAA